ATCCGGGGCGTGTAGGCTTTGTATAGGATCCCACACAGGCCGTGCAGGCTCTGTATAGGACCCCGCACAGGGCGGGCAGGCTCTGTGTAGGATCCCATACATGGCGTGTAGGCTCTGCGTAGGATCCTATACAGGGCGTGGAGTCTATCTATAGGATCCCATACAAGGCTTGAAGGCCCTGTGTAGGATCCCATACAGGGCGTGTGGGCTCTGTATAGGATCCCACACGGGCCGTGTATGCTCTGTATATGCCGTGTATGCCCTGTACGAATACAGGCCGTGCAGGCTGTGTGTAGGATCCCACACAGGCCGTGCAGGCTCTGTGTAGGATCCCATGGAGGCCGTGCAGGCTCTGTGTAGGATCCCATACAGGGCGTGTAGGTTCTGTTTAGGATCCCACACAGGCCGTGTAGGGTCTGTACAGGATCCCATACAGGGCGTGTGGGCTCTGTGTAGGATCCCAGACATGGCGTGTAGGCTCTGTATAGGATCCCAAACGGGCCGTGTATGCTCTGTATAGGATCCTGTACGGGGCGTGTAGGGTCTGTATAGGATCCCACACAGGCCGTGTAGGCTCTGTTTAGGATCCCATACAGGGCGTGGGGTCTATCTGTAGGATCCCATACAGGGCGCGTAGGCTCTGCAGAGGATCCCGTACAGGCCGTGTAGGCCCTGTACATGATCCCACACAGGCCGTGTAGGCTCTGTATCGGATCCCACACAGGGCGTGTAGGCTCTGTATTGGATCCCAGACAGGGCGTGCAGGCTCTGCGTAGGATCCCAGACAGGCCGCGTCGGCTCTTTATAGGATCACATACAGGGCGCGTAGCTTCTGTGTAGGATCCCATACAGGCTGTGTAGGCTCTCTATAGGATCCCATACAGGGCTTGTAGGCCTAGGATCCCAGACAGGGCGTGTAGGCTCTGTATAGGATCCCATACAAGGTCGTGTAGGCTCTGTATGGGATCCCCAAAAGGGCGTGTAGGTTCTGTATAGGATTCCATACAGGGCGTGCAAGCTCTGTATAGGATCCTAGGAATCCCCAGGGATTCCCTAGGGATTCCCGCGGGATTTCTAGAGGATTCCGCATGGATTCAGGAATACGTGGAGGTGCGTAAAGGGTAGTCTCAGAGCCACGGTGACCATAGGGATCCTATGGGATTCCATAGGGATCCGATAGGATTCCATAGGGATTCTATGGAGCTGGTGTTGGTGTTGGTGTTGGTGTTTGGGGGCGGTGGTGGGTCCACGGGTCGTCAGTCCACGTGTTCGCCCAGCGGGTGAATGCGTGGACTGTCGGGCCGTGGACGGGTGGGCAATGCACGTGTCGACCTTGTTGTTGAACTTTCATTTCTGAAGAGTTATTATTGTTGATCCCCCCCTTCCGGTGCACATTTTTTCGATTGAAGCGCCCTTCCCGGGGCTTGCACCCTGTTTTGTATCAGGGAAAGTCTTGAGGGTCAAACTATGTCGTTGGCCCCCCGTTTACAAAAACAGCGGCTCCCGCTTGATATTTCCTCACAATTTATCCAGGACCCCCGCTCCCGCCCGAGATTTCCTTGCGTTTTATTCAGGAATCGCGCTCGCGCTTGGGACTTCCTTAGGATTTAATCTCCCGGCGCTCTGGAGTCGCGCTCTCTTTGGAGACTTGCTTGCAATTTACTGAAGAATACCGCCCTTGCGTTGGAATTACTTGTAATTTACTCAAGCGCCGCGTTCCGAGTCGCGCCCGTTGTGGCCCCATGTGCATGCCCTTCGTGGCCCCGCTGTCGCCATTCGTGTCCCCCTCATTGTCCTACGTGGCCCAGTTGCTACCCCTAGTGGCCCCATAGTTGCCTTCTGTGGTCCCGCATTATCTGCACTTCGTGGCCCCCGCTCGTTCGCGCTCTTCGTGGCCCCATACGCATTCCCTTCGTGTTCCCGCTGTCGCCCTTCGTGGCCTACTTCGTGCCCTTCGTGGCCCTGCTGTCGTTCTCTCTCGCTCTCGCTTTCGCTCGTCGTCGCCGTCGTCGTCGTCGTCGCCGTCGTCTTCGACGTCGTCGTCGTCGTCGTCGTCGTCGTCGTCGTCGTCGTCGTGGTCGGTCCCCTGTCCGTCCCTCTTGGGGTCGGGTCGACGGTCCGCGGCCGCCCCGCCGATCAGCGCTGCCGCTGGCCAGGCCGACGGTCCGCGGCCGCCCCGCCGCTTGCCGGGGCCCGGCCTGCAGGGAAGAAAGGTATACCCCCCAAAAGGGGTTCGATCGAAGACGAAGAGGGCGGGTACCGAGGGTTCGGGAAATACGCGTTATCGGACATTGGAGCATATAAGGGCGAACAATCTTAACATTATTGTTGTTGTTGCTGTTGCTGTTGCTGTTGCTGTTGTTGTTGCTGTTGTTGTTGTTGGTTGTTGTTGTTGTTGAACATTATTTATTCTAAAGAATAATTATTGTTGGGCCCCCTGGTGCGCGCCCCCCCTGCGCCGCCTAGGCCGCAGCTACATTTTCATCATTTTCGTGAGGAAGCCTCAGAAAAGAGGGTGTGTACAGGATCCGGTTGTTTTGTTGTAATCCGCTTTCCCTTGCAAAAAACAATAGAAAATGACATTTCTTGTTCTAATATAATCAAATTTCAAGAATCCCTTGCAAAAAATAAGGTAAAGTGGACATTCGCGCGCGCAAGACGAAATCCTTCCAAAACCTTAGTGTTCGCAGCGATTTTAACATAAAAACATCAAAAAACCAATGGTTTTTCAACAAAAAATTGTCAAAATCTCATCCCGCGCGCTCTTGCGGATTCGTAGGAAACCCAACACTTTTTAAACATTTCTGTCAAACGGGCTTTTGCGAGCAACTTTTTCGAACTTCTGCGACAACGGTTGCGCACCTGCCAGGGCCATCATCCCTGTCAAATAATACCATGCGGGACACATTCGTTTTTTCTTCGCGCGCGCACGCCGAAATCTCCAAAAACCATTGGGCTTTTTAAGAATTTTAGCACCGCGCATCATAAAATCACACGAATCGCACCGTAGGTCCTCGAAAAACACCTGCACGACTTTTCAAAATTTCTACCCGCGCGCGCTGTCCGAATCCTAAAAAAACAATGGTTTGTATCATGTGTATCATGTGTATCATGTGTATCATGTGTATCATGTACCATATGCATCATATGCAACAGATGTTCTGTGGACGGCTTAACAACTTCTGTGGGTTAACAAGGCTTAACAACTTCTGTGGGTGTACGAACGTAGGCTTAACAACTTCTGTGGGTGTGTACTCCACGCCAGTGTAGTAGCCACGGTCGTCCGCAGGCCACGAAGTGAAGTGTCCGAACGTCATAGGGCGGGAAGCTGGGTGTGGGTGGTGGCGAAGAGTCGTGTGGATATTTGGTAGAGCTTGCACTGCCCCCCCACAAAGTGGGGGTATTGGCTGGCGTCGCATGAAAACCCTGGCACTGGTGAGAACACTGAGCGTTCGGGTAAAGTGATTGTTGTTGTTGTTGTTGTTGTTGTTGTTGTTGTTGTTGTCGTCGTCGTCGTCGTCGTTGTTGAACATTATTAATTCTAAAGAATAATTATTGTTGGGGCCCCTGGTGCACGGCCCCCCTGCGCCGCCTAGGCCGCAGCTACATTTTCATCATTTTCGTGAGGAAGCCTCAGGTAATACGATGTGATCAAGATCCGGTTGTTTTGTTGTAATCCGCTTTCCCTTGCAAAAAACACTATAAAATGACATTTCTTGTTCTAATATAATCAAATTTCAAGAATCCCTTGCAAAAAATAAGGTAAAGTGGACATTCGCGCGCGCAAGACGAAATCCTTCCAAAAGCTTAGTGTTCGGAGCGATTTTAACATAAAAACATCAAAAAACCAATGGTTTTTCAACAAAAAAATGTCAAAATCTCATCCCGCGCGCTCTTGCGGATTCGTAGGAAACCCAACACTTTTTAAACATTTCTGTCAAACGGGCTTTTGCGAGCAACTTTTTCGAACTTCTGCGACAACGGTTGCGCACCTGCCAGGGCCATCATCCCTGTCAAATAATACCATGCGGGACACATTCGTTTTTTCTTCGCGCGCGCACGCCGTCGTCGTCGGCCGCGGGGCCCTGAATAGTAGCCACGGTCGTCCGCATGCCACGAAGTGAAGTGTCCGAACGTCATAGGGCGGGAAGCTGGGTGTGGGTGGTGGCGAAGAGTCGTTTGGAAATTTGGTAGAGCTTGAACCGGCCCCCCCACAAAGTGGGGGTATTGCCCGCCTCCTATGAAAACCCTGGCACTGGTGAGAACGGAGTGTCCCCACGTGCTAGTAATTGTTGTTGTTGTTGTTGTTGTTGTTGTTGTTGTTGTTGTTGTTGTTGTTGTTGTTGTGTGTGGATCTGGCTTCCGCAGCCGCCGCTGCAGCGGGTGGGGGAGCAGGAGGGAGGACGAACAAGGAGGGAGGTAAGGAAAAGGGGGGAAATGGAGGGCGCTCAGGGAGGGAGGAGGAGATAGGATGGTGGCGGTGGTGATGGTGATGATTATGAGTTTGATGCAGATGCTGATGCTGCTGCTGATGATGCTGCTGTTGCTGTTGCTGCTGATGATGGTGTTGATGGTGGTGATGATGCTGATGCTGATGCTGATGCAGATGATGCAGATGATGCTGCTGACGACGATGGTGATTTGCTGCTAATGCTTACAATGACGATGACTGTGATGATGATGATGCTGATGCTGACGATGATGATGATGATGATGATGATGATGATGTTGATGATGATGATGCTCATGATGATGCTGATGATGATGATTATGATGATGATGCGGATGCTGATGCTGATGCTGATGCTGATGCTGATGCGGATGCTGATGATGATGATGATGATGATGATGGTGATGATGATGCTGATGATGAGCATAGGAGGAGGAAGAGGAGGAAGAGCAGGAGGAAGACGAGGAGGATGAGGAGTTGGGGGGTGAGCCTGATGAGCAGCGGATGCCAAAGACGGCCGCGTCCGCGCCCTCGTCGCGCCCCGCCCCAGGTGAGCCACCCTTCGCGGCAGCCCCTTTGCGACGGCAGGCCCGAGGCACGACAGAGGCCGCGGCAGCAGCGGCCGCACGACTCGCACCGGCCGGAGCGCGACTCGACTGGGCGCCGAGGGGGGGTCTCCCCCTCCTCCCCCTCCTCCTCCTCCTCCTCCTCATCCTTCTCGTCCTCCTCCCTTCCTCGTCTTCCTCCTCCTCCTCCTCTTCCTCCTCCTCCGCCTCCTCCTCTCCCTCCTCCTCCTCCTCCTCCTCCTCCTCCTCCTCCTCCTCCTCCTCCTCCTCCTCCTCCTCCTCCTCCTCCTCCTCCTCCCCCCCTCTTCTCCTCCTTCTTATTGCCTCTCAGATTGGGTTTGCGGAGAAGGGGTCGGCGGATCGCGCCGCATCGCCGAAGCATCGGCGATGCGGCTCGATATGGAGCTCGATTTTCTCCATGCCGACGCCGATGCGTCGCCGATGCGTCGCCGATGCATCGGCGATGCATTGGCGATGCGGCGCGTTCCACCGACGCCATCTACTCGGAACTTGTCTTGGAAGCCTTTGGGGGGGGGGCACGCTGACTCGCCATGAAGCACGCCCAGATGTCAGACGGTATGATTCTTCAATCCCGACGCTTTTCGTCGACTTCGGTTTGTTGGGCCTGGTAAGCATCGGGCCCAGGAGCAACAAACACTGATTTTGGACGAAAGCCACCCGGGGGAAACGGTCGGGAGCTCCGGGGCCGCGGATTGGATCAATCATGTTGTCGGAGTTTTGGGAACTTGAGGGACAACGTGAGAGGGGGATAGGCTCAGGGGGGATGATCGTTCCCCAATCGCCCTCTCATCGCCGATCCGGGCCCGATGGCCCACCCCGCCCGGGAACGTGCGGATTCGCTGTCGGGGGCCTATCGCCCATCACACGGGCCAAATGCCCATCCCGCCCGGGAAGGTGCGGATTAGCTAACGGGGGCCTACCGTTGATCTATCGGCGACGTGTCGCCGATTCGAAGGCGATGTTTCCCACCCTGAGCTGGTCCTCTCGGGGGGGACGATGATGGCGATGTTGAGGATAATGCTGATACTGATGGTGGTGATGATATCGTTGGTGACAATGATATCGACGATATTGATGATGCGGATGCTGATGCTGATGCTGATGATGCTGCTGCTTATCATGACTATGATAATTGCGGTGCTTCTGATATTAATGGTGACTAGGATGATGATCCCGAAGAGGAACATGACGGAGGAGAGGAATACGGAGAGGAAGAGGAGGAGGATCAGGAGGAGTAGGAGGAGGAGCAGGAACCAGAGGAGGAGGATGGAGGAGCAGGAGGAGGATGAGGAGGAGGAGGAGGAGTATGGGAAAGTGAGGAGGAGTATGGTGACGATGAGAAGAGGAGCATGAGGACTACCAGCAGGAGCTGGAAGATGAGAAGAAGGACATTGACGTGGAAGGGGAGGATGAGTATGATGATGAGTAAGTTTTATGAGGAGGGCGAGGAACGGAATTGCGCAGTAGAGGGAGGAGGGGCATCAGTACGAGCAGGAGCATGGGGACATAGGGGGGGGAGCACGTGGAGGATCGGCGCGGGGGGGGAGGGGGGCAGACAGGACGGTCGATTTGAAGGCCAGTGAGATAAAGCGGGCGAGTATGATGCGAAACATGGTGGATGAGGAGGAGGAAGAGGAAGAGGAGGAGGAGGAGGAGGAGGAGGAGGAGGAGGACCAGTGCAAACCCAATATTCATCAACGATGTTGTAATACACCCTCCCTCCAAGCTCCCTCTTCGTAGGCCATAGGCCCCTGCAAGGGTTCATGCCCACTGAGAGATTTGCCCCGTTGGGGGACGACCATGCGAGAATCCTGCAGCGTGCCAGAACACCATTCTCAGGATTTCAACGCCACGAGGTTAACCTGACTGTTGCGTCTTGGCGACCCTGAATCGTGCCAGAACATCATCTCTGGGACTGTTGCGCCCTGACAATCCTGAATCGTTCCAAGACGCCATTCCTGGTATGTTAGCAATGCGGACCTGCCCGGCGCTGGGGCGAGAGTCACCTTTTGGAAGCGACCCGCCCTCAACCCGTGAGTGTCTTGCACATATTTGAAATCAGCGTTCGCGGTCAAAAGTTGGAAACGACCCGCCTTCAATCCGTGAAGCTCTTGCGATGTTTGGGCACGAGTGTGCGCGGCGCTCGGGCGAGAGCCACATTGTGAGAACCACCCGCCCCCCATCTGTGAAAGGGTTGCCGCTATGTCAATTCAGGAGCACGCGTGGTGAGGAAGTCTCAGACGAAACGCCCAGCCCGCCCTTTCGACGAGCCTCGGGGTGCGACGGGGAGGAGTTCTCCATCAGGCAAGGAGTGGAGGAGGAGGGGCAGGAGGAGGATGATGAGGAGGGGGAGGAGGAGGGGGAGCAGGAGCAGGAACCAGTGTAAACCCAAGACCCATCAGCGATGTTGGAATATACCCTCCCTCCAACTTCACAGGACTCTACAAGGTTCGTTTCCAATGAGGGGACTGCCCCGTTTTTTGTTGGGGGGGTGCAACCGTGTGCAAGCCCAGACGCGTTCCGGGATTCCGACACCACGGGTCAACGTAGCTGTTGCGCCCTGACAAACCTGAAGCGTTCCAAGACAACATTCCTCGCACGTTAGCAATGAGAACCAATGAAACTCGTGCGTTTTTTAGAATGGATGTGCGCGGCGCTAAGGCGCGATCCACATTTTTTTAAGCGACCCGACCCACCCTCAATCCGTGAAACTCTTACAACTTGTTTGAACGACTGTGCGCGGCGCTAAGGCGAGAGCCACACTTTGAAAACGGCCCGCCCTCAATCCGTGAAACTCTTGTATTTTCAGAAGGACTGTGCGCGGCGCCAAGGCGAGAGCCACATTTTGGACACGACCCACGCACATTTTTAGAGCGAATGTGTGCGGCGCTGAGGCAAGAACCACATTCTGGAAACGACCCGCCCTCAGTCCGTGAGGTTCGGGCAAATGTCCGAAACAGTTGTGCGCGGCGCATCGGCGTGAACCACATTTTGAAAACGGCCCGCCCTCAATCCGTAAAGGTCTTGTATTCTAGACGCGTCGCGTATCCCCATCAACCCATCCAGAAACGATGTCCATGCGAGTTGAGGTGATCAGGGAAGTGTTGGAGCATAGAGGGGGATGGCCGAACCGTGCAAAGGAGGGAGGAGGAGAAAGAGGAGACTGGATGGATGGATGAGGGAATGGGAAGAAGGATGATGAATATACTGATGATGCTGATGATGATGATGATGATAGTGGTGGTGATGGTGATGATGCGGATGATGATGATGCTGATGCTGATGCTGATGCTGATGATGATGCTGCTGCTGATGATGATGATGATGATGCTGCTGATGCTGCTGCTGCTGATGATGATGACGACGACGATGATGATGATGATGCTGACGATGATGATGATGATGATGATGATGATGATGATGATGATGCTGATGATGATGATGATGATGATGATGATGCTGATGCTGATGCTGATGATGATGATGACGGTAATGACGATGATGATGATGATGATGCTGATGCTGATGCTGATGATGATGATGCTGCTGCTGATGATGATGATGAGGATGATGATGATGATGATGATGATGACGATGATGATGATGATGATGATGATGATGATGATGATGATGATGATGATGATGATGATGATGATGATGATGACGACGACGACGACGATGATGATGATGATGATGATGATGATGAGGAGGAGGAGGAGGAGGATCAGTAAGACAAGGATAAGTAGAAGGAGAAGGAGGAGGAGGAGGTGGTGGACTTTCATGATGTCGGAGGAGTAGGGGGACGGAACTACAAGGAAGAGGGCGGGGAGAGGGATTGGGAGGAGGAGGAGGAGGCGGAGGAGGAGGATGAGGAGGAGGAGGAAGAAGGAGGAGGAAGAGGAAGGAGGAGGAGGATGAGGAGGAGGAGGAGGAGTTGGATGAGGAAGAGGTACCTGCGCGCTGTGCCCTCCCTGGGGAGGTCGCGCGCGCTGGCCGGCAGAGGGCACAGCCTGCACAGCAACGCGAGCTCTGCCGGCGACAAGATTGGGGTGCTGTCCGTGAGGGTCGTCCGCCCTTCTATGGGATGGGGACCTGAGGAGAGGAAGGGATCCAAGGGTGGATCTACGTTAAGCACCTCGTCCTTAGGACCCCACCCCTCAGGACCCCATCTTTGAACCACCGACCTCTTTCTTTCTTTCATGCTCTGCTTTTGTTTCTATCCCAGATTTGAAGTCTCAGTCTGCTTATCGTGGTGGCGTGCCACGAGGTTAGGGGAACGAGCAATGACACAGGCATAAAAACTCTCAGGTCCGCGCGGATTTCTCGGATAGGTGCTGGGGTCTCCCCGGCGGCGCCGCTGGGTCCAGCGCGGATCCGAGAAATCCGCGCGGATCTCGGAGTTTTTCTGCCTGTGCCATGTTTCGTCCCCCTGTCTGTTCCTCTCCCATCTTAGCCTTCTCAGTCTGCTTCTTGCGGTGGCGTGTCGCAAGGTGGCGCCCTGGGCCAGCTCCTCTGGGCCCTCCCTGCCCCCCATGTGGCGAGAGCGCCCTCTGCTGCTTTTCTTCCTGCGCCTCCAGAGCCACGAGGACAGCAGGACGTGGCCCATGGGCGGTGGTAGCGAGGAGCGAAAAAAGGGGAATCCACGGTCATCATCCAATTTTTCGTCTTCCCATTCCCCTTACTCCAACATGCTCTTCATCGTCAAGCTTGTCTTCTTCCTCTTTTGCGCCCTCCTCCACCCCCTCTT